GCCATGAGGATTATCCTTGGATGCCCCCGTACAACTAAATTACTAAACTTGAGGAAGGAACTGAATATTTCATGTGTAAGTGATCGTATCATTGAAATTAATGCATTAATTGGTATCAAGATGCTTAGGGAACCCACCCTAACCCCTGCACTGAAGCCCTCCAAGCCTTCTTCCTTGAAGGTCAGCATTCCTCCAAATGGATTATCAAAAATGTCATTATGCTCAGAATGTATAATATTCATCACCTCCACCAAGAGAGACAACAACAACACTTTCCTGCCGCATGGGACATCACTCCTTTCCAAATTACTGTCCTTCCTTTCCCACCCAAGAAACTGATTAAAGAACAAGCCTTGCTTCGACAAGAAGCAAAGTACAATGCCTTAAGCCAAATTGATCCTTATGTCAGAGAGCGCTGCCTTTCTCAGATTATTTACACTGATGGATCTTTGCATCAGTCCCATGGTGTAGCTGGAAGTGCAGTTGTTGTGACAGGGAGAGATGGTTCCTTCTCCCATGAGTGTGGAGCGCGTCTAAGTAACTGGGCCTCCACTCTTCGAACAGAATTAGTTGTCATAATCCTTGCACTCGATCGCGTATATGAATCCAAAGTTGACACGCTAATTGTGACTCCTTGTCATCCTTGACTGCCCTCAGCTCCCCAAGGCATAACTGTGACGTGCTTATCTCTGAAGCTAGACACAGATATAATGAAATAATCAATGATGGAGTTAGAGTCTGTCTTCTGTGGATTCCTTCCCATATTGGTCTCCGAATACATGATAGAACTGATGAGTTGACGAAGACTTTTGCTCGTAAAGAGGGAATTTATTACCAACTTGGACTGCCCCTGAGCAGCCTGAGGGCAGTAATATTCCGGCAACATCAACTAAATTTCGGAGACTTGAGGCAAAGTGAAATTCACACCAATTCCTCCATCTATCATCATTCTATTATGCAGGAAGTACCGCACGTCTATGGGCCATCCAATAAGGTTAGGAGACTTCTAGATGTTACCACTGCTAGGCTTAGGCTCGGCTACAAGTACCTCTGGGAGTTTGTAACATCTGCTGATGTAGATCTGACTATATGTAAACTCTGTCAGCAGAACTACTCGCATACTTAGCGTCATTATATAATGGAATGTGAAAAAATCGCGGAATTCAGAGATAACACCATTAATGGTGTCCAAGAAATGTGTAAGTACTTCATTCATAATGATGTCCTGCCCGAAATCTTAGCGAAGTATCCAAAATCAGTCAGTCAGGTGCAGTCACAGTGAGAGGTTGTGTTAGCTGGAGCTCCGATTGAATATACTTCAATATGGAAGTTGTGGTGAAGGAACTGATGAGTCTGGTTGGTGCTCTGAGGACAGAGTTGGACTCTCTACGGGAGGAGGTACGACAGCTGAAACAGCAACAAGAGGGAACGAAGGAGGAGACCAGTAGTAAAAAGACCTCGTCTTGGAAAGTTGTAAAGGACAGGGGCCTTAAGAAGACTTTGATAAAGCCTCCTACAGACGCCCTAAGAACGTCTAATTTATTTGCCGTATTGGAGGACGAGTGCTGTGGTGAGACTGTGGATCACGCAAAAGGGAAAGCAACAAAGCGCAGGCCCCTCAGAGAGTAAAGGAAGTACCTAAGCAAACTTTAGTTGTGGGAGATTCCCAGATAAGGTATTTGGATAGAACGTTTTGTGCTAGAGATAGGGGGAAAAGGTTAAGGGTTTGCTATCCCGGAGCTGGTATTGGTGATATTATAAACAACATGAATAATATTATGGCTGGAAATGAGAACAATCCTGTTATTTGCATTAGTGCAGGAGGAAATGATATTGGTCGAGTTAGGAGTGAGGAACTGATTCAGAGGTATAAAACAGCAATTGAATTAGAAGCAAGGGAGGAATCCCGATCATATGTGGCATTCTTCCAAGAAAGGGAGTGGGAAATGAATGGATGTCGAGGGCACTTGGTGTCAATTGCCGGCTGGAAAGATATTGCAAATCAAATGCAATATCTTTCATAGACAACTGGGAACACTTCTATGGAAGAAATGAAATGTATGCTCGTGATGGGGTGCATCTATCGAGGGCTGGGGTTGTTGTTGTTGCGAACTCGTTGGAACCAGTGGTTAGAGGCGTTTGTTTGGGTTTAAACTGTTAGTAGATAGTGGTATGGGAATTGATTTGGAGGAAGGAGGTAATAATAATAATAATAATAATGTGTTTGTGAGAGAAAAGAATTGGCAAAATGATCAGGAAAAGAGAAGAGCCTCAAAATAACAATTCACTTAGGGTATATTACACTAACAGTAGAAGTCTAAAAAATAAAATAAACGATTTAAATGCTCTTGTCTGCACAGAAAAAGTAGATATTATTGCACTTACCGAAACGTGGATGAATGTAGAAAATAGAGAGCTATTAGCTGAATATCAAATAAATGGATTTAAACTATTTCACACAGATATATTAGACGAGGAGGGGGAGTAGCCATATATGTTAGGGACAATTTGAAATGTAGTCTCAAAGAGGGAATCAAAACTGAGCCACACACAGAAACTATTTGAATATAATTAAACGAAAAAGCAAATAACATTATAATAGAAGTTATATATAGGCCACCAAATTTAGACAGAATGGAAGCAAAGCACCTATGGGATGAAATATCTAGAGCATCTAGATCTAACATGAGCGTTTATGTCATGGGTGAATTTAATTTTAGGGGGCATCTCTTCTCAAATCCGAAAATTTCGAAAATTTACAAAAAATTATGAAAAATACTACAACGTTCTGGCAACACTGTGGTGAAAACCGTTTCATGTTATCTTGAAAAATAACGTTATTAGAGTCAAAATTCCTGCTGCAAGTTTCCCCATTCCGGTTCTCGCGGGCTGGGTGCGCCGTGGGGTATTGCGTCTTACGTTGTAGCTGTCTAATATTTCGTAATAGCGTTGAAAATAACGTGTGATGCATAAAAAAATATAAACTCACTTATTGGCAACAGTCGAGAGTCGAGAGTGAGGGAGGGATGGGATTGCTAACATAAGTCAGTCACTCTCTGTGTCCGATAGCGAGCAGATCTATCGTGGACGCGCGCTCACAATATCTCCCAGAATTATCAGTATTTGTGCTATTTTACTGCAAAATGACGTACAAAACGAAGATGAAGAAAACTCTGAAAGCTAAAAGCATGCTAGCTGCCCGTAGAAGGTGCGAGCTGGCTAGAATCCATGGATTACGCACTTTGACGAGTGATCGTGGAGGCCTCTCAGCCGCGAGTGTGAGGAACCAGCCCGCTACCCCCCCCCCCCCCACCACAATCCCACCCTCTGCCACCGCACATTCTCCACCTTCTACTCCAGGGACTGGTACTTGAAGAAAAAGGACAAGGATATGCAGAAACCAACGAGACCCACAACCAAACCAAGAAAGGCCCCTGAGGGAGCTGACCCCGGCTATGGCGCAGGTGCCTACTAGTGCCACTCCAGTGCCACCTTGAGGACCCATATTTCTGACCAATTATATTAGGTTAGTATGTTTTAGTGTTATATTGTGATATTACTTCATATATATTTGTACATATAAAACTGGTGGCAATTTTTATTTTGTTTATTTTTTTTTTATTTTTTTTTTTATTTTATTTATCAGGCGATCTGCATGGAACTTGCACACCTTACTGAACCCATGCCTATCTACAAGGGTGCAAATTTTGAATGATATCGGTCAACATCAACCTCAGCTAAAGGTGGCTGAACTTTAACCTCCGTTTGTGCAGGTAAATATTTTACAATTGTATTTGATTTCACAGACTTTATTTATTATTCAATTTACATGAAACTTGCACATTATATGTAAAGTTTATGCCTCTAAAACATTGTGGTGGCTTTTCTTTCTACGTAGATTTATTGATTTTATAAATATTTATAAATACAGTATCATATTAGTGCATAGGATTTTTGGGAAATTTACAAAATCTGTATTATTGCACTAAATACATCTGGGATAAAAATCCACCACACAAATCTTTATTATATAGTAAGGTCATAGCTAAGTGTCATAGAACTTATTTCGATTCACAATTGTGGGCTGTGAAATGATTTGAACATTGGTGAAAAATTGTCTAAAAAAACTTTTTTATTTTTTTTCTCCCTCTCTATTTAGGCTGCGATGCTGAAACTTGGCCCAGTTGCAGCACCTGTCACATGTATCAGGATAATAAATTTTCAATGCCCTACAACAACTTTCAATTTCCATCTAGATGCCCCCTTTAGTGGAATTAACTGGTTGAACAAATCAGGGAATAGTGAAGCAGAAGATTTTCTAGAATAAATTGACGATTGCTTTCTTACGCAACACATTAAGGAACTAACGCGGGTAAATAATATTTTAGATTTAGTGTTAACTAACATGGAAACACAAATTAAGGACATGGAAATAGGGAGTGAGCTAGGGAACAGTGACCATAAAGAAATCAGATTTAGCATAGAATGGAATAGATCTGTAGGAGAAAATTCTGTTAAAGTGCCTGATTTTCGAAAAGCTGATTTCAATAGCCAAGGAAATTTTTTGGGTCAAATAGATTGGAAAGTCTTGGGTATGGGGTGTGGGCCGGTATTGGAGCTAGACGTGAACCCAGCGATAGGTGACGTAAAAGGGGTTTTCGATGTGGACTCAAAATATAACCTATTTAAAAATATTCTAAGCAAAGCCCAGGAATGAAGTATACCATATAAATTGAATAGATCGAATACTAATGATCCAAAGTGGATAACAAAGGATCTGAAGAACCTTATAGGTAAAAAGAGAGCGTAGTACAAAAGGATTAAGAATGGGGAAGTCTGTTTAGAACAGGAATTCGTACAGCTGGCTAGAAGAGTTAAAAAAGAGATAAGGAAAGCAAAAAGAAACTATGAAGTTCGCATAGCAGAGCAAGCAAAAACAAATCCTAAACGGTTTTTCCAGTTATACCGGACAAAGATTAGGGAAAGGATTGGTCCATTAAAAACTGAGACAGGTCAAATAACAGATAGTGATGAAGAGATGAGTAGTATTTTTAATAAATATTTTGTATCTGTATTTACTAAAGAGGAACTTAACAATATGCCTTCAACCGAACAAGTCTATGTGGGTGGGGACGAGGACAGGTTGACGAGTTTAGCAGTTACCATGGAGGATGTTCTTAAACAAATAATAAAACTCAAACCAAACAAATCCCCAGGGTCGGATGAAGTGTTTGCCAGGGTGCTTAAAAAATGCAAAGAGGAGCTTTGCGACCCACTGTCTACCATATTTAATAAATCAATAGAGTCAGGCAGAGTGCCAGAGTTATGGAAAGTTGCTAATGTGATACCAGTTTTTAAGAAAGGAGATAGATCACTTGCGTCTAACTATCGACCAATTAGCCTAACGTCTATTGTGAGAAAGTTACTCGAATCTATAATTGCAAATAAAATTCGTCTCCATCTTGAAAAACATAAATTAATAATTGAGTCGCAACATGGTTTTATAATTGGCCGTTCATGTTTAACAAATTTGTTATCTTTTTATTCTAGCATAGTTGAGGCAGTTGATAGTGGTAAGGATTATGATGTTGTGTACCTTGTATTATAGTGGTGTGGGTTGGTGGCGTCGTCTTTGCTCCTTCTCTACAGACAACCCAACCCACAACTCGGTAGAGTGCTTACACTTCACTAGGAGATCACACTAGGCGCTTCTGGTTCTTGGAGAGGGGCTCAACGTCACACGTTTTGGGGATGCGGCTCCAACACTCAGCCTCATTGTCACGTGCACACACCCACTCGAGCCGCTGTGACTCCCCACTCTCTCCTTAGGTGATATGATCTCCTCAATCCCCTTTTGACTTATTAGTATTACCTTTTACCCTGTCACAGCAGTGGTTCTTGGTTCTTTCTCTCTCTCTCTCTCTCCTTCTGTACTATTTCATGGGAAGCCTCACTAGGACAAGGTCAAATACCAGCAAATTGGAATACATTTACTGGACAAAGCACATTCACAATACATACACACATATAATAATAATGAATCCTATACTCTATACTATTACAATCAGGTAGCACTCCAACACCATCTGAACTCTATTATCAGTTTACCAAGTGGTATCCTATCTTCTGATTCACCACCTGATACTATCAACCTCCTCAAGTAGATCAAGTCTACATACACTGTTGCACCATCAGCAAGAGAATACATATATATATATATATATATATATATATATATATATATATATATATATATATATATATATATATATATAAATGTGTGCAATGAAAATCAGCATGTGAATGCAATAACATATATCAGCATAAATGTTCCTTGATACACCGCAATGATCAATCGATCACTCTATCAGTCCTAGAACACGTACATCTGTAGGTAATCCAGCCTACGACTGTAACTCTAAACTTCAGTATAAAACACTCCTTGACATAAGAATGCAAACAGTCACTCACCTCTCACTGCGTCTTGCACGCTAATGACAACCAAACACTATCAACTCCCTACAAGTAATCCACCAGAACTTCCCTTCCACCTCTGGAAGTTCACTACCCTGATCTTCAGGTTCTTCTGGGCTTCACTACCAGGATCCTCTGCAGCTCCTCCAGGCTGCTGTCATGAAGTTTCCTTGAGCAACTACGGTGCTTCACCCTTCTGCTAGGGTCCTCCACAGCTCTCTTGGCTGCTACACCATGAAGTTCCCTCGAGCAACTATGGTGCTTCACCACCTCTACAGAAGCACGTGACACTCCTCTTCACTGCTTCTCCTCACAGCTCGAGGTCCTCTGCTCCACTACCTTGCAGTCTCATCAACTACTCCACATCACACAATATGTTTGCCTCAAACCTCTATCTGTCCTCTACATACTGTGAGAGTGGACTCCCCCGTTGGGCGGATCCATGCTCCACCTCGCCTGGCGGGCCTCGCACTGGGAGGGTCCTCCGCCGTCGAGCCGGGCTCCCTCAGTTGCCTGCCAGTGCTCAGAGGAGACGGATGTCCCTCCGTGTTCCTCCCTCTCCACTCTCTTATTTCAGGCCTTCTGCCTTATTAAAACATGTCTAACTTATCAATAAACATTGCTACTGTCGCTGGGCACACGACCAACTACAAGCAATCACTATGAACTGGCGTATGTCGTGCTTACCACAGATTATCTGGTCGAGGGCGCTCCTCCCTCTGACGAAGCTTGGTCAGGGCGCTTCCACGGCCCACAATAATGTCTCTGGGCGGCTTAATACTCTTCTCGTCGACCAGGACTTGAGACCACAACGTTCCCAGCTCGATTCTACAGCTGGCACGTCTACACACTTCTCTTCTCTTCGATATATCACTAGGGGTTCCCTTCTGACGGGAGCTCGAACGGAGCGCAGCTTTCCCCTGCGATGTCTGGCACTTAAGTGAGGTCAAAGCCCCTCCAGAAGCGAGCCTCACGCCTCCAGCAAAATGTCCACATCTCCTAACCAGTCATTTATCTGTTTTCTTCTACACTGCCCATAATCTTAAATTGTTCATCATATCCAAGCAACTATTTTACATATGTGTTATCACCTCAATATTTGCTAGACCTTCTAATCAGGTCAGGCTTAATGAATAACTCTCAAGGAGGAAGACTCGTTTCTCCTGCAGGCTGAGATCATAACACTTGACTTTAGCAAAGCTTTTGATACAGTGCCACATGAAAGACTGATTAAAAAGATAGAGGCTCATGGTATTGGGGGTGCTATATTAATCTGGATTAGGGCATGGCTATACCAAAGGAAACAGAGAGTTAGTATAAACGGAGTCAAGTCAGAGTGGGAAAATGTTGTAAGTGGAGTGCCTCAAGGCTCTGTCCTGGGACCTCTGTTGTTTATGATATATATAAATGATTTAGGTTCAGGTTTGAGTAGCAACATTTGCAAATTTGCCAATGATAAGAAAATCGGTAGGGAAATTATTCGGAGGAGGACTCACTATCACTTCAAGTTGATCTAGATAGGGTTTTGAAATAATCAAAGGATTGGCAGATGCAGTTTAATGCTGATAAATGTAAAGTTCTGAGGCTAGGTAATGATGATAGAGTTACAAGATACGAGCTAGATGGTGTTGAGATTGCGAAGTAGAATTGTGAAGGGGATCTGGGAGTTATGATTAGTAAGAATTTAAAACAAAAGGATAAATGCATGAATGTTCGTAATAAGGCAAATAGGACACTGGGATTTATTAATGGAAGCATTAGTAACAAGACACCTGGTGTGGTTCTTAAGCTATATCTTGCTCTGGTTAGGCCCCATTTAGATTATGCAGTTAAGTTTTGCTCGCCGTATTATAGAATGGATATAAATTCACTAGAACGTGTCCAGCATAGGATGACTAAGTTAATTCCCCAAATTAGAAATCTTTCATATGAAGAAAGATTAACAAAGCTTAAGTTGCATTCACTGGAAAGGCGAAGAGTTAGGGGTGACATGATAGAGGTTTACAAGTGGATGACTGGACATAACAGGGGGGATATTAATAGGGTATTAAAAGTATCAACATAAGACAGAACACGAAACAATGGGTATAAATTGGATAAGTTTAGATTTAGGAAAGACTTGGGTAAATACTGGTTCAGTAACAGGGTTGTTGATTTGTGGAACCAATTGCCGCGTAACGTGGTGGAGGTGGGGTCTCTCGATTGTTTCACGCGCGGGTTAGACAAGTATATGAGTGGGATTGGGTGGTTATAGATAGGAGCTGCCTCGTATGGTCCAATAGGCCTTCTGCAGTTACCTTTGTTCTTATGTTCTTAAAATTTGCTTACTGTAGATAATGCATGCACATGACTTTAAAGCGGCCGCCCAGTTGGGTGGGTGTGGAGCACATGACTGTAAAGCTGCCGCCCAGTTGGGTGGGTGTGGAGCACATGACTGTAAAGCTGCCGCCCAGTTGGGTGGGTGTGAACCACATGACTGTAAAGCTGCAACCCAGTTGGGTGGATGTGGAGCACACGACTGTAAAGCTGCCGCCCAGTTGGGTGAGTGTGGAGCACATGACTGTAAAGCTGCCGCCCAGTTGGCTGGGTATGGAGCACACGACTGTAAAGCTGCCGCCAAGTTGGGTGGTTGTTGAACATGACTGTAAAGCTGCCGCCCAGTTGGGTGGATGTGGAGCACACGACTGTAAAGCTGCCGCCCAGTTGGGTGGGTATGGAGCA